ATCAAGACAATTTGGTTTTGGGATTTGGAAAGCTTGAGATTCCCTATGTTGGAGACTCACAAGAGGGGTCAACGCCCTCACCAGAAACATAGTAAGCTTTCAATTTTTACCCTATAATAAGAACCAGGTGACAACAAAAGATGAACACTACCAAAATGGCTACTTAAAAACTGAAGAAAGAAAATTTATCAAGCATTATTAATAAACATAAATTTATTGATTTATACAAGCCAAGCACAACTGTTTGAATTTTCATTTAAAGAGAGATAAAATGGCAGTCTGGATAACAAGAACGTGAATCATACCACATACGGCTTACATATGTCCTAGGATCAGATCAGGGTACAAGTCTAAGAACATGATCAGCTGGTTTATATGAAATAACTCTGAACAGAATTGGATACAGATTTTTCATTATTTCTTAAAAACCTCACATTTTGGACAACACAGCCTAGCCTAAAGAGACATTTTTTTGGTAGAAGGGAGGAAAGAAACATGCACTTGCAAAAACAACTGTTAAGAAATAAGAGGGCAATCAAAACTAGACCTGGCAAACGGGTCATTTTAACAGGTTTTGGGTTGTGTTTATGTTAATCCGTTAAGTTAACGGGTTGACACGACATGACATGTTAACTTAACAGGTGAAAATGTTAGACCCAAATACGATCCGTTACAATTCGCGAAAAATCTACACGACCCGTTAAGAATAAACAGGAAAAAAAAATTTCCCAACGCTAACTCTTCTTCCCCCAAACCCCAACCCTAACTTTTCTTCCCTATTTCCCTCTTCGTTTCAGTCTCTCTCTACTACTTCCTTCTCCAACACCCCAATAAAAAATAAAAAAACCTCTCTCTCTCTCTCTCTCTTTCTTTGGTCACCACTTTCACAGTCGCTCTCATTCAATCCAACCTTAAAACCCAACAACAACAGCAAAAACAGAGAAGATAGATATTTATTTTAAAAAAAAAAAAAAAAAAAAAAAAAAAAAAAAAAAAGAGGAGATAGAGAAGAGAAGAAAGAAGAAAAGGAGAAAAAAAGAAGAGAAGAAGAGAGAGAGGGGAAAGAAAGAAGAAACAAAGTGAAGAGGTCACAAAGAGAGAATGGGTTGAAGGAAAAATAATATTAAAAAAGAGAGTGGGAAAGATGGAGAGATAAAAAATGACAGAAAAAAAAAGAAGCGTCTGTTTGGTGTTAGGAATCAAGATATGTTTTTAAAAAATATTTTGGACAATTACAAAATTACCCTCCTTAACGTGTGGATGTGAATATTCGCGAATTGACATGACAGAACCTGTTAGCTTAACTGGTGGGTAACGAGTTCACCCATTTTCAACTCAACCCATTAAGCTCAACCCAAATACTGATAATTTCGTGCGAATTTATGTCGTATTACATGCAGTGTGTAATATTTCTAGGCCTAATCAAAACACTAGATAAGAAAAGTACTAAAACTAATATATCATGCAAAAAGAGTTAAGTGGGCCGGGTTTGGGTTGTGCTTGAAGCAAACTCGGGCCAAGCCCAGCCCATGTCTGGCCACATGCCAACTTGGTCCATTGGACCTCATTTTTTGATTGCAGCTTGGCTCAAGCTTTTGTGCTGTGCCGAGTACGACCCACTAATGTTCTTGCTCGTTCCGTGTCGTGCCTCATTCAAACGGGCTGGGCTCGTGCCATGTTGGGCCAGCCCGTCTGATTTGACACCTTGGATTGTGACCAATTTGGCAAAATTTGTTTCTCACTGATCAAATTGAAATTTTGTGTAAAACCTAATGACCAATTTAACCTTATTATTTAAGAGAACTTCCTTTATCAATTAAAGAGGGTAACAACTCAATTTTATAATTTTATAATTAAATTGTATTTTTTTTAATTTTTTTTTTTTTTTTTTTTTTTTTATATGAACCTCGAATGGTATGGATGAAAACTTTATTGAATTATTAAGAAATACACTAGGAGGTGTGGGGGCCTTTTCGTTCTGGCAACTACTGCGGGCCTAGGCTGTTGTAAAGAGCCAAATGTGTGAAAATTGCCCCTAGGTCTGAGTTCAAGAATCAAACTCCAAGAATGCTTCAAAAGGGTAGTTGAGCCTTAGGAAGCATCTTGGTTACCTTCACCGGCAAAACTAAAAGTAGCTTACAGATAAATACTTAGTTTGGCATGAAAGGCTTGTGGCATGAAAGCAAAGTAGTCATGAGTTTAGCATTAAACAGAGAGAGGGCTATGATTTCGTATGAGAAACAGGGGTTTAAGGTAAGGTGAGAAGGGTATTTTGAGAGGATTCATTGAAGAGAGAGAGATGAGAAGAACAATAGGTGTGTTGAGTAATTTTCTAGCAGCCTAACAAAAGCTATGTCAAACTCTAGAATGGCTTGCCATAAGAGAAAATGGGAGGAGATGGAAGAATATGACACGAAATTGCAGAGATTTCAGGGATGAGAGATGAAGCTTGCTCTCTGGATGTGGGTTGCCTTTGATGGATAAAAGATGACCCTTTTTATAGCCGCTGGAAGCTCCTCCTTCATAAGAAACCCTAATGTGTTCTCTCCAATTTTGCAAAGTCTCCCCTTTCATTTCTCTTCTCTCCTTTCGATTCATCCCATTTTGTGAAATCTTCCTCTGTCCAAACACACAACGACAAGATTTTTGGGAGCTCTGAGGCCTTTCCGTAGCTGCTTCAGTGTTGAACTCCTATTTTTGACTACCTCCTCACCTTCTTTCCTTCCCTCTTCCATGGCAAGAGCTGGTAGGAGAAAGAAATTGGTAAGAGCGTTGGTTTGAAGGGTGCTTATGCTCTTTGCGCATGCTAATACCTATTGGTTATCTGCGCTTGTAGGGTGACTCTTCCCTTCCTACGTGCACGATGACAACATGTCATGATGGGCTTCCAGCAGTTATTTGCAGTTTCCCAGGCACCAAATTCTTCCTCCCTTCTTTTCATTTGTTATTTTTTTTTCTTCTTTTCCTTCCTCTTTAAGCAGTGAACTTCTCTCTATTACTTTTTTCTACTTTAATTTTTTCTTCCTCCAACGAACTTAGAGCGAGAGAGAGTGAGATTGAGAAAAGCCTCCCGTCTTCAGCCATTGGAAGGAAGCTCGAGCCGAACCCGACTCCATCATCCCCCCCATACGAAGAAAAACCCACATGTTGCTATAAGAGATCTCTTTGTGTAGACTTTTCTTCTAAGAATCCCTAATTTTCCCCTTTCTTGGTGCATATGAGGCTATCCTTTAAGGGGATTAACAAGGTATGCCCTTTTCTCTTGCAATTTCTTGAATCTATTAAGGGGTTTGTTGGGTTCTTCATCCTCATGGGGTTTGCTCTTTGTTTTGGCAGCCAAGCACCCACTCCTTTTAACCCATCCATCTTTTGTTGGCGTAATGGTTAGCAAGGAAGGGTTTGTGTCAGTTTTTTTGATTTCTTTCTTTTTGCAAGCTGCTGGAAGGGTGTCGAAATTATGAGGAGAATTCGCTGGTATGGATTGCTCCATTTTCTTTTCTTCATTTTTCTTTATTGCGTGCTGGGCCTCTTTATGCTAGTGAAAAAGGCTAACCTTTGCGTCTTTCGATAAGTAGTTCTGCTCTTTTGCTAGAAACGTGAGTCATTCTTTTGAATTTGTAGAAATAGACTTAGATTGGTGTTTGGCCTAGGCTCATTCTTCCTGTGAACATGTGCTTGATTAGCTTTGGGCTTTCTCTTATGTCGCAGGAAAATGGCTGTTAAGAAACTGACAGAATGCATGTTTTGCAATGCTTGAATTTTGTATTGTTGGGAGAGAATTTTGCTTGCCATGGGAATTGCTTGTCGATCATGGAACGAGAATTTTGCTTGCCATGGGTAAACTGGATGCTGCTTGGACATTTACTTAAGTGTTTCCTTCAGCGTGAGCTTGACTTGCCATGCTTGGCGTATATTTTTTGTGTGCTACGTTCTTGATTCAAAGATCATCTCTACAAAAAATCACTTGAATCCGATATCATTTGACCATTCAATTGAATTATTGAAATTTTAGTACTTTATTTAAGTACCGTGTTCATTGATTTTGTGGGTATGAGAGTGGTGGATGTGGGCATGGTTCGAGAGAGGAATTTTGTGGGTGATTGCGGAAATTTGGGACTACAGTGGATTGGGTAGGGTGCGGGTTCTGGGTAATTGATTGGGTTATTGTTTGTGTATATTAGTTTGGTTGGTGTTATATTCTAATGAGTTTTTCTAGAAATTTGATTGAATAAGAAGGTTAATTTGTTGGTTTTTGGGTTTTCTTTTTCTTTTTCAACGGTGGTGGTGATATGGCTGAGAGTGTAGGAGGCATGGGAGAGACAGAGGTAGAGAGAGAGGTTTTGTTTGTGGGTAAGAGATTTAGTTAATGAGACTGATTAGAAAATTAGTTAGAAAATGAGAGCAATTTTCCCCACCATTTGGGTTGGTGGTTGTTTGGGCAAGGAGGGGGTGGGCATGAAGAGGGCGGTTTTAGCTGCCAAGAGGGGTTGGGTAAATAGAGAAAGAGAGAGAGAGAGGGAGGGAGAGAGATTCTTTTTAGTTTAAATTTTTTTAATGTTTTATTTTTATTTTAATTAGTTTTAATCATTAGAATATTTAAAGAATTTACATTTTAGTCCCTAGAGGTTTAGTGTCAGTATCGAAATGAGTCCCAAGGTTTCAATTTCATCAATTTCATACCTGACATTTCAAAGTATGACCAATTTACACCGGCCGTTACATTAACCGTCAAAGTCAAACATTAAATGTTGATGTGGCAGTAGTGGGACCACCCTTATAACCTAACAACAGTTCGAAAGAGACGAGACGAAGGGCAATTTATGAAAAAAAATAATAATTAACCACTCAGCTAGACTCACGTTCCAAGGTGTCATTCCAATAGACAAAGGCTTGGACAATGAAATCAAACAAACAAGTTTCTAAGTTTTCGAGAGATTTTGATATAAAAAAAGGAGAAAGGAAAAAAGTGGAGAGGAAACTTGCAAAGAAGATCTGATTGGATGCCTGGAATGGATGAAGAGGCGCCAATGTGTTGGTGTGGCAAGGCTGCTACAATTCGAACCTTTTGGACAGATTTGAATCCTACGAGGCGATTTTCCATGTGTACAGCAAAGGTACGTGAGACTAAGAAGGTTTTATAGTTCTAGGCATGGTTTGATCCGGCCATGTGTGAACGGTCAAAGACAATGATTCCTGGGCTTCTAAAATCGCGGAATAAGCTGGAGAAATCAGTGGCAAAGGAAAGACAAAGAGAAAAGGTCATTTTGGGTGTTGTTGGTGGCTTCTTGGTTTCTATTTACAAGCTTAATTTCGGGAGGGATGTGTGAATCTGGAGTGAACAGAAAGAGGAGCTTCGAATTAGCTTCTGCCATTGAATGAATTGTTTGTGGGTTGTTTGTGTGATTTTCTAAGTGTTGGGTTGTTAGTGGCATTTTGTAAGGGTTTAATTGTTATGTAAGGATTAAGGGTTATGGGTAAGGGTTAAAGGTTTAATTGTTGACTTTTTGTAACTTGATGAAGTGAATGGAATGGCAACATGTGCAGAGAATTACATCTAAATGAAGTGAATGGCCATCATAAAGAGTATCCAAATGAAGTGAATGGCCATCTAAATATGTGTGCTAGTGAAATTATGCAAATGAATGCCAAAAACAATGTAAAGAGAAGTTAGAAAATTTTCCCTATACAATCAAGTGAATTCCCAAAACAATATATGTGCACAATGTAAAGGGAAGTTAGAAAATGGATGCACCTGGAACAATTAAGTGAATGACCAAAATAATCAAGTGAAGTGCCAAAACAATCAAGTGAATTGGCAAAACAATCAACTGAAGTGCCAACCCAAAAACTTAGAAAATTCTCCATTCAAAATAGGCTCAAAATAGCAAGATAATAACTTTGACAATTACATATTTGATGTCCTTTCAAATTCATTCCAAAATGGCAATTTCAGTGGATATATTTGCATTCACAGTGGTTGATGCTTATGTGAATGCCATTACATCCATAAAAAAAAGGTCAGTAATTAAGTTATACAGGACCAATTTATCAAAAACAAAAACCTCCTAATCACAAACTGCCAGTCTAACAAAAAAGGTGAGTCATCAAATTCCTTTTTCAGTCAGCTTCAATTTACAACATTTGATCCTGCAGTTGAAACAGAAGTTGAAGCATGAGGACATGAAGTTGAGGCTGGTTGTGCTTCAGAAGTGGCATGTCAGTTGCAGCATTGAACTCTGGCCAATTCTTATTAGCTTCATCATCAGAATTATACTTGGCATAATCCTTGCACTCAGAATCTTCAAAATCCAATTCAATATATGTAGGCCAATCAGCAGCAGCCTCATTCCCAGTTTCTTTAACCCCTGTCCATTCAGTTTGTTCATCCACCCATTTTTCAAATAAAAAACATCATCTTCATCTTCACTAAAGTTCGTGGAAATCACATAATCTGAGTCCTTACTATCAGCAGAATCATCATCAAAATCTTTAAAGTCTGCAGCATTTGCATATCTTTTTCCACTTCTCAACTTCATGGAATGGCTTTTGGACTCGATCCTAATGCCCTCAACCCTTCCTTCCACAATTTCTTTGTCTTTCTGGTGAACAATCTTTGTCTTCCTTAAACTACCGCATCTTTTTTTTACCATAAGCAAGCTTGACCCTATGTGACATGTCATCCATCACTTTATCTGTGCCTTTGCCTTTATCAGAACAACCCTTATTAGCCTTTTCTTGGCCCTTGTCAGAATTCTCTTTATTATTCATAATAGACTTTTCTTTGCCTTGTTTAGAAGCTTGATCAGTCAACCATTCTTCAGTCAACTCTCTACCTTGTCCACCTGCTTCTTGATTCAACCCTTCTTCATTCAACTCTTTGCCTTGTCCACCTACTTCTTGATTCAACCCTTCTTCATTCAACTCTTCTATTAGGGCACTTCCAGCAGTGAGAATCTTGCCATGGCAAGGGGGGGCTATGGCTGACACTATTCACGAGAATAGTGTCTGCCCTTGCAAAAAGTAAGTTGCACTTCCAGCAGTTGCCATGGCAAGGGGGGGTACTATTCAATTTTTTGTTTTTTTCACAAATTTTTTTACCTAAACAATTAATTTTGACAATATTTTCGAATGAGATTTTATGATAATGACGGTGAATGAAGTGAAGCGGAGAACATTTTTAAGATTTTAATGTTTATGTGTTTATGTTTAGTTCTGTTTGGTTTTTTTATGCTTTGGTTGTGGTTTGTTTGTTTTTATATATTTAATGCTTTGGTTGTGGTTAGTTTTTTTATGTATGGAATGTTTTGAATAAAAAGGAATTTTATTTAATAGTTTCTTTAATAGAGAAAAATTAAACTTGAAAGTGAAAAAAATTTAGAGTTGAAAGTGAAAAAATTATTGAGTAGAAAGTGAATTTGTTGTTAAAGTGAAGAGTATGGATTGGTATTTATAGAAAAAAAATTCAGTATTTTTTTGGGATTTTTTAAAAAAATTTTAAGATTTTTTTTCATAATTTTTTGCCTTGAAAAATTCCAGGTCGTTGGATTGGATGAAAAATTGGAAATCGGAAGGACCAGGTTGCGCCACGTGGTAGCGGAAAGAAAAAAAATTGATTTGCGCCTGCTGACGTCACGCTAACGTCAGCGTGCCTTCGGGCTGTAGCTCGGGCTCCTCCTGCCTTCGGGCCAGCCCAGGCTCATGGACCCCACCCTGCCCGGGCCAGCCTTTGTTGCTGGAACTTGCATTTGGGCTCTTGCCCGCCCCCCCCCCCCCCCCCCCCCAGCCCTCCCTCGCGGGGCTGGAAGTGGCCTTACACACACGTGTTTTTTTCACATTTTCCACATAGGATACTCCCTCAGCCATTGGAACAATGGCACCATAATTGTCATCAAGCTCTTCAATCACTACCCCAGTGTTGGTCCCAAAATCATCATCCAAATTTATTAATATGTTTTAAGCCATTTGACTGTAAAACTGCTCTTGACTGCATGCCAAGACAAGTTCTAGGAATATATTTATCAATCTAGTGTTTGGCACAAATACTAGCATGTCTAAGACATCTGCATCCTCATTCAGCTTAACTAGGCCACCATCAAAATGATCACCTGGAATACTGTACCCTAACCCTTTTACCATGGCATCTATCTCAGTCATTGACATGTCAAAAGCCATACATCAATTTTAACAAACAAAATACATTCGAGGCTATTTACAAATACAAAAGACACATACACATACACACATACAAATACAAAATACAAACTTTCTATGTCAATACACACATACACAAAAGGTAAGAGTCCCAGTGCTTGTAAGACCACATACAAAAGTCAAAGTTTACTTCCGCATTCCACCTACCATTCACACCATTCTATCTACCAATTAAATGGACACAGTGAAACCGACACCTAACTCGAAACTCACAATCCATTATAAAGCCAAACTTTCCAACACGCAAGTTTCACTTGACACCAAACTCGAAACTCAAACCTCCGTTTCAATTTAATTTTGGCAATCGATTTCAAATCTTTGCTCAAGATTTCAATCAAACCCTCTCCTCTATGTCTATCTCAATATCTCTCAAAAACTCATAAATTGGTTTGTTCAATTTTGTTGTCCAAGCCTTGGGTATTGGAACGACACCTTGGAAAGTGTGCCCAGCTAAGAGGTTAATTTTATTTTTTTTTCCCAAAAATGCCCTTCATCTCGTCTCTTTCGAACTGCTGTTAGGTTATGAAGTGAGTCCCCACGACTGCCACGTTAGCATTTAACATCTGACTTTGACAATCAATGTAACGGTTAGTGTAAATTGGTCATACTTTGAAATGTTGGATATCAAATGGATGAAATTGAAACCTTGGAACCCATTTCGATACTCACACTAAACCTCCAAGGACTAAAATGTAGTTATTCCAATATTTTATACCTCTTTTTACTGATTCCTCCCATTCCAACTTTCTGCTAACCCACAATATCATGCCTCTTCTTTTCCCTTTTCTTTTTCATGGCCTTCATCTGCCAAATACAACATCAATATTCCTTTTAGTAGCAAGAAATGTCAAAAATGAAAGAAAAGAATTCATGTATTGAAATGTATAAATCATGTACCTCAAGTTGATCGTTAGGCATGATGGTTGAGAGTTTTGAGGTGTTGTGTAGAATTTGCTAATTAAGGGGTAGGGAGGAGGAGACTTGGTTTCAGTTTTGTGCTTGCTGGAGAGAGAGAAAGAGAGAGAGTTTTGATCTGGAGGCAGTGGGGAAGTAGGGGTGAGGGGGGTTGAATATATAAGATTGAAGTGCCTTGCGTCTTGTTACTGTAGCATGATTGTGAGATTAGGTGTCACATGTGAATCATACTACATCTCTCATATATTTCCTTCACTTTAGCATGTAGCATTCATAGAATATATAAGATTGAAGTGCCTTGCGTCTTGTTAGATTGTGAGATTGGGTGTCACATGTCACATGTGAATCATAGGACATCTCTCATATATTTCTTTCACTTTAGCATGTGTAGCATTCATAGAATTTAAAAGCACCGCATCTGATGCATGCTTGCTTTTGACTTAGTGAAATGGCAGCCTTCTTTATGTTTGATTTGTTGGTTTTTCCAAACCATCACTCATGGCAGTAGTGACCAATTCCAAACACAAAAAACAAACCAAGGGCCCTACGGTTTTGGCAAGTTTCTCTTGGAGTTACTCAAATATAATGCGTTAGTGATATGTACCATGAGCTCCTCCTCATTTACCACGCATGTTTGGTGGGATGATAATTATATGGTCGCAAGCAAAGCAAGGACAACATTTGTTTTTGATTTTGTAGTTTTTTCCAATTATGTTTAATTGTAAGTCTTCTTTTCGAGATGTCAAAAAACAGAAGAAGAAGAAGAAAAAAGAATTTATTTTATATTAATGTTTTTGGATGATATGATACCATACAAGTTACATTTATCTTCAAATTGAAATCGACGTCCAATTCATGCTCTCCCCCCATTTAATAATAATGATAATAATATCAGATCAAATATGTGTAAGAATGAATTAAGGCACAAAAAAGGTTGCAACACATTGAAAATCACTTGGACAAAACCGCATTCTCTCGTCAAAGCAAAAGTGTGATTTCGAATCCATGGGCAGGGTAGGAATAAGGGTTTGCAGCCCAAATGATTTCAATGGAATGTTGCAGATTATTGTATTTCAATAGGAATTCCTTTTGTTTTCTTTAAGGTTTCACCATACTTTATAGACAAATATTTTGATAATCTATACGTGCATATTTAACTAGGGTTTTGGTGCTACACCCTTGCCCAAAAGGAAGCTCCAGCGCACAAGACCCAGCCTGAGCAAGGCGTGGGACTCATTAGTCCTGGCAAGCCCACAGAGAGATTTGGCTTGTCCTAATGCCTTCGGGCAGTTGAAGTCAGCGTTGCCAACAATAAAAAATTTAAAAATCTTGCGCTGAGGCCAACACTACCAGAAACTAACGGCTACAAGCCACATGGCTTCTCCTGGAGATTTCGATCCGAAAATCTCCTCCAATCCAACGGCTATCCATTTTTTGTAAAAAAATATAAAAAATATATGAAATTTTTTGAAATTTTTTTCTATAAATACCTACCAATATTATTCACTTTCCACACCAAATCTTCATACAAATTCTTCTCATTCCAATAATTTTCACTTTCCACATCAAATTTCCTACTATTAACTTCCATTTGTGTAAAAATACAAATAGTATCTTCCATCGAAACCGGAGGCTCGTGGACAAACATTCGAAGCAGTCAAAATCTTTGAGACAAGGTAAAAAAAAAAAAGTTGTTGTTTTATTCAATTTAATGCCATATTTTTTTTAAATAAATATTTTCAATTTCATTTTTAAAAAATAGATTATTCAAGGCAAAACAAAAAAGAGGAAAACCATTACATATGGCTCCTCAGGTGAACAATACCCACAATTGGTTCCCGTGGTGCATTCCGTGTCGGAAATAATGGCACTATTACGTCATCTAAAGGAAAATAATTCCCACGTTGTGATCCAGCAGAACTGCCTCCGCCATTGATTGAGTCGTCTTTGTACTCGATTGTATCGAACTATGAGGACTGGAAGTATTTCAATTGTATGATGAGTGAGATGTGAATTTTATGATAAATGACAATCAAAAATCTTATCCTCAAATTTAATCCTAAAATATAATCCAAATTAATCGTTTAAGTATGAAAAATAGAAAATAAATTAAAGTGAATAGAAATTACTTGCCCTTACTCATAGGGATGGAAACAAAATTACAATGACTGTCACTATTTACGTGAATAGTAGCAGTCATTGCCTTACCCTTGCCTATAAGGATGGAAGTGCTCTTAAACAAATGACGCTGCTTTTATTATTTAAAAAAAAAGTATAATTATCTTAAAATAAAATAAAAAGACGTGTCAGAGTCGCCAAAGAATCCAAATCTAGCACGAGCGCAGTGATTGATGCCCAAACAAAAACTACAAAACCCCAAAAACCCTCTTTGCTTCGAAAAGGTCAAAACAAAAGATCTTCCTACCAAAGTTTCAAGGCTGTGTCTTTAACTTTTCCTGTCTTTGCCTTCGGCTCCCGTCATTTTTTATATTCTTTTCTTTGTGTAGAATTTTCTTTTTGATGTAAAATAATATCAGAGAAACTAAAACAACATCAGTGACGTAGTTGAAGGATTGTTGTTCTTGTTCGTCTGAGACTCAGAATATTATGGCCACTTCCCTAGGATGTTCATCATCTGCGGTAAACTATGAATTTCCACAAAATTTATTTTCTTTTTCATTAAACCATTAATGGGTAGCAATCACTTTTTAGTTTCTGAATTTGAAGCTCCTTTTTTTTCTTTTAAATATAAATAATTTGAGAAGGAAATTTATAATTCAGAGTAAAGAAGCATATTTGAATTATAGATTTGAGAATTGAGTTTTGTACATTTTTTATATATTTTATTTCTATTTAACTGAGACTTTTCTTTTTAACTTTTAATGCAGGAACACAGAGAGGGAGAAGGAAGAGGGGTGGAAACAGAGAAAGACCCATATCATGTTTGTTTCCTTTCGTTTATATTTTTTTATTTGAATATGTGATGAAATTTCTCTGCATATAACTCATTAGGATTTTGCTAGAGCACAATAGTTTATACACTTTGAACCAAATGTAAATTTCTGTAAGATTTAGTGTTGGATGCAATAGGTAAGTTATTAATCTAGCCCTTTTTTTTTCACAGATGAACTCTATACAGTATTAGAAACATTATAAATTCAAATCTGGATGCAATGTTGTATCCCATTGTATCCTTAAGCCCTGAAATTAAAATACAAGAATACCTTTTTACATGAAAATTGAAAATAGTTTGATAGCGTGGTTAGTATCCCGAAATACATATGCAAGAGTTTCTTCCCCTCGCATCTTGAGATTACCCTGTTCTTAAATTTTATCTAGCAACTGGTGGTACTTGAGTGAGTATATATTACTATTAGTGAAGACACCATTTCCATCACAAATAAAATAGAAAAACATATGATACGAATTTGTATGTGGTTTCTGTGCATGAAGTAGTTTCAAACTGGAAATGTATGAAGGAGCGTTGGAAAATCTGTTCTAGTTTTCTATATAAGTTTAGTAATGTATTTGCCTATTTTTGTTCTTCAAACGTTTTAGAATGTTTTAATGAGGATGTGGTTTATTATCAATACTACTATCATTATGATTTTTCTTCCGGGTCATTGAAGGATTCGAGTGTTTATCTCCGTCCTCACATCCTAATTTAGGACACAGGACAGATTGTAGTTCAGTACACTCAGCTATCCTCAATGCTTGGGCACAAAACTTAGATTGTGTAATACGTAGATAGCAGGTTGTAAAATGTGTGCATATCCATTTTAGGAAGAGGAGCACTCTTTTTTTAAGTGACATATTTGATGCTCTTTTTATGTTTAGGGCTTTCCAGTAATCAATTGTGTTCTTATCATCTTTTATTTAGACCTTTTAATGATTGAATGATCTTGGATATGATTGTTCGTCACTACGTTGGTATTTTGTGGTCTACAAGCTTATAAGAACAAATAGTTATTCATTGTTGATACATTCATAAGTTGATGCAGAGGAAGGGGTAGTTATATGACAAGCTAACTGATGTTAAATCTAATGATTATCTTTTCCGTTTTGGAGGATTATTTTTGTTAACCAATATGAATAAGGATGGATAGGATGGGTTGGAACAAAAAAAAACACCATATATACCAAATAGCCGATTTTTCGTTGCTCATCTGTTGGTGATCAGTACCTGCTTATGTTTAATGGTTGACTGTATAGCAACCCTGTATTTTGCGTTGGCATGAGTTTTGGTTTACAAATTTTGGTCCTGCTCTTATTATAAATAGTTTCAACGTAATAAACAGGGAGAAATTATAAACAAGCTTGCTAATGCTCTAATGAAGAAACTCACAAGCTTAGACCCCTCGAAGACCCTCACACCAGATCACATGAATGGCGTCAAACAATGCCTTTCTGTATTCTACCCTGTGTTTCGCTCACCTGATCATCCCACCTATGCTGTGGTACCACACTCTTTTGCCTTACTAATGCTTCTTCAGTAAGACTTTTTCTGATTGTTCCGTATTTTTTACTTTTGGAATGTTATATTTGGGCAGATGATACAGAGGGCAATTGCTGAGTTGAACAAGGAAGGGGGGTCGACTCAAGAAGCAATATCAAAATTTATTAGAGAGCGGTTTGACTGTTTGCCATTGGCTCATGAAAGTTTCTTGAGTCATCACTTGAAGAAACTTAGTGAGAGCGGAGAAATTCTGAGTGCTTCAAATAATTGTTATATGCTTCCAGCTGAAGAAAATGGTTATGTTTCTCGAAGGGAGCGAGTGCAGAAAAAAAATAGTAGTGGGTTGGGTAGGGGAAGAAGAACAAGAAATGGAATTGAGCATAAAAAACTGGCAGAAGAACAAGTTGAAGTAACTGAACATAGAGAACAGAGGCAGCAAAGTCAGGAGCCAGAGGTGATAGTTGATCAAAATGGATGCTCAGAGCAACAAAATGAACAACAAGATGAAGTGAATGGAGAAGTTGCAATGGTTGTGGCAAAACAGAAATATAAAGCGACTAAAGAACAATTTGAAGTAACTGAACATAGAGAATGGACGCAGCAAAGTCAAGAACCAGAGTTGATAGTTGATCAAAATGGATTCTCTGAGCAACAAAATGAACAACATGATGAAGTGAGAGGAGAAGTTGCAATGGTTGTTGTAAAACAGAAATATAAAGCGACTGAAGAACAGGTTGAAGTAACTGAACAACAGAAAGAACAGGGGAAACAAAGTCAAGAACTGGGTCTACAAGAACAGCACAGTAAGGTGATTGACGATCACAGTGGACCTCCTGAGGAACAGCAAGACGAAGTGAATGGGCAAAAAACTGAAAAACAAATGCAAGAAGTTGCTGTGATTGTTGAAAAGCAGCACAATTCAGAAGAGAAATATAAAGCAACTGAAGAACAAGTTGAACTGATTGAACAGAGACAACATGGGCAGAATTGTCTTGAATCGAATCAAGGGCAAGATGAACTGATTGGACAACAAAGTCAAACTGAAATGCAAGATGTTGTAATGATTGTTGAAAAGCAGAATAATGAAAAAGAGAAATATAAAGTGACTGAAGAACAGGTTGAAATGACTGAACAGAGATTACATGGGCAACAAAGTCAAGAACTGAATCTACACGAACAGCATAGTAAGCTGATTGACGGTGAGAGGGGATCTCCTGATAAACAGCATGATGAAGTGAATGGACAACAAAGTATAAATCAGATGGAAAAAGGTACAGTGATTGTTGAAAAGCAGAACAATTCAGAACAGAAATATAAAGCAGTTGAAGAGCAAGTTGAAGTTACTGAACAACAGAGGGAACACAGGCAACAAAGTCAAGAACTAAGTCTAGAAGAACAGCTAAATATGGTGCTTGACATTCAAAATGGATCTCCAGAGAAACCAAACGAACATGCTGATGGATCTCCAGAGAAACAAAATGAACATGCAGAGGAAGCAAATGGGCAACAAATTCAAAAACAAATGCAAGAAAATGCAGTGAATTTTCGAAATCAGAGTAATGCAGAACAGAAATATAAAGTGACTGAAGAAAACATTCAAGCACAAAGGGATGAACTTATTGAAGAACAGTGTCAATCTGAAGAACAACAATGTGAAGTGACCAGAGAACAATTACAAATTGAAGGAATTGAAAGAGAGATTCAGTTACTAGAGGAACAAGTTGAAATAATTGAAAAGATGACTACACCAGGAGAGCATATTGAAATGATTTCTGAACAAAATAAGCCACAAGAGCAAAGTGAATTAATATCCAAGATCGTTGGTTCTCGGTCAGCCATTTTCTCTCTGTATTCAGTATTAGTTGTGTTATTGGCTATTTTGCATGTGCCAGTCTCATTTCATAAACAGCAATATGCAGGAGTTATTATCAAAGAAGCAGGAGAAAGATGCAGCTACTGCGATCAATTCAAGCCCTTCTCTTACAAGTCAAAAACTGCCCCACCATGATTCATCATTTTTGTCTGAGGTAAATGTTGAAATGTGTACGTAATACAAAATGCAACCACTACCTATTGATTCAACTTATTTATGCCTGGCATGTTTGTTTTTGTATTTATTTTGATCAACAGGAAAATTGTGTAGAATTGTTGATGAGGACACGTAAGCTTGAGGAGAAGTTGTTGGAAAATCTGTCTAGCATAAGGGAGGGATCAAACCGTAGCAGTCAGAAGCCTAGTACAGACTTAGAGGAGTTATTTTCAAAGCATGGAAAGCTAGCCGCCCATGATAGTCAGCCGCAGATGCCCAAGTGCCAAAACAAATCAATTAACACTTGTCCTCATGTTGAATTGCCACAACAAAAGGAGATTGGAAACGTAGAAAGATCATTGAAACTGTTAACAATGGAAGCAGAGAATATCAGAGAAATATCCCGTCATGTTGGAAAGAAGACTTGTCTAAACTTCGAAGCAGAGCATGAGAAAGAAAAGCATAGTGCTGCCTGCGATCCCAACCTTTGTTGTCAGCAGAAGCCGTCTGTCTCTCTGCAAGTTGCAAGTTGTGAGGATGTCCCCAAGCACTCACCAGACCAGGAACTGGAACGGAAACTGAAGAACCAGCAACCAGAACTTCAAAAGCCACAAAGACCTCAAGATGTCGAATTACTGTCAGTTGAGGAAGGCTATAAGGTTCATGAATCTGAGCTAAACATTATGGACAGTTCTGTTTATTTGCTCCAGGCATCACAGCATCAGAAGAGGCAGCTGCGTCCTCGGCATAAAAAGACATCTGAATCTGGTTGTGGGGTGCCAAAGGCACGTAAATGCCAGGTAGCCGCCATGAGTTTTCTCTAGAATTGGTAGCTATCCCTCAATGAAGGGGACTGACTGCTATGGTTTCAGATTCAAGTGATTTTTTTTTATTTTTTTTTAACATATGTTAACAACTATTGGTAGCCATCTCCTGTATATGTATTTTTTATACAGATATATATATATATATATATGTATGTATGTATGTATGTATATATGTATATCCGTGTTGACCAATAGATGTTAATGCGACTCAAATTTCTTGTATGACCTAGGAACTTGAGAACGAGAAGCAGCCCAGAGAAGAAATACAGGATATGGGTATGAAGCTTGATCATTTTGCAGTTAAGCTGTCATTTCAAGCACAGAAAAAAACACAGGAGCCAGCACAGCAGAGGCAATTGCGTCCGCGGCGCCAAAGGCAGTCCAAATCTGAAGAGTCGATCACTACATCGATGGTGGAATCACTACCCACAAGGCATCAGGATACCCTGATATCAAACCTTCAAGAAGCTGAAAAGCCTCAGGAGCTAAAGACATCAGCAGCAAAAACAGGCCCCACACAGCAGCAGAGGCAACTTCAACCTCGAGACAAAAAGCTGCCTGAATCTAGGGCAGTTCTGTCACCTTCACAATCTCTGGATGAGCAGTATCCATTGCTTTCAAACAGTGGAAGATCTCAAATGCAACAGCCGAGAGTGGATGATTCATCTCAACTGAAGAACCGACATCGACATGATGAATTGTCCCAAACAAAAGAGCTGCGGCGTCATCTGAAATTACAATTCCACAGCCAAGGTGTTTCACAATCTGATCCTAGCGTGTCCATGACAGAATCATCACCCTCACAGAACCTGAGTGAGGAACCCCAAGAAAAGATGCACCATGATGAATTGCAGCACCTGAAACATCAAAAGCATAAGAAGCCTCCTAGACCAAAAGAAAATGAACCAATTATGGAGGTTTTGTCCCCATCAGCTGACCAGCAGCCACAGAAGCGAGGGAGAGGGAGGCCTCCTAAAGCAAAACTGGCTACAGCTGCAACCAGCTATGCATCACTGCCTGCTAAATGCCAGAAGCAGAAGGAACAACCAGAAAAACGAAAACAAGGGAGGCCCCGTAAGTTGACAGCAAAAATTACTTTAGCAAGGATAAAATTGACCTTAAAGAACCAACCACAGCAACAAAAGCGAGGGAGGGGAAGGCCTCGAAAAGTGACTGAAGAAACCTAAGAAGGCAACTATGAATGTTTAGTTCTCTAATATCACTAGCATTCTAGTTCACCAGTTTGTAATATGGTTTAACTTGGTAGGATTTTTCCTCAGAGAAAACAAAGAATCATATTATGTTTTTAACTTATTTAGTAACCATGGAACCCTCAATGCGAGGTTGGTTCCAAACATGTACCAAAATTTGTTCATGATCTTTCTGCAAGGACTTGATGTTTTATTGTCTAAGACTTTGCATGACGACTTTGATGGCGGAACCTATGCGATTAAAGGAAGGTTTAATTTTCGCCCCCTTTCTACTCGCCCCTTTCCGTCCAAAAAAGACGGATTCTAAGGTTTTGCGCAGGTTAGAGAACTTTCCCCGCTGTCCTCCTTTCAACAGGGATTGAATTATTATTGCATAAAGAGCAATGGCCATGGCAAAACTATTATATAAATGGAAAACACTCAGAAATATATGCATTGAAGGTTGAAATATTGGAGCTGCAAATTTAAGCATTGGGATCCATTGTCAAATAGTGAATTTACCAATCTTGGTTAATCAAAAGATGTTCTAGTAACATATTTTTCGAAAAAAATTCGAGTGCATTCAGGTTTACTGTTGAGTTTTTCTTATAAAATGCTTTTAAAATGTGGTGAAAGAAAAATTCAATACTAAATTTTATTTTTAACAAATCCACTTTCATTTTCACCACTGAAAGGGGTTGCCAAGATACCCTTAGTCGATTAATTCCACGTTGTTCTTGGTGTTGATGTGCTTTGCATTTCAATAGAGTTTCAGTCTAAAGAAGTTGCCAGGTTTAGCCATCTATCCCTCCTTAGCATGGGCATGGCTGGTTTCTTTATTGTTCTTTTTCACTTCGTGTTTGTGAGGAATTTTTAAATATTTTTAAAGAAATAAGCATACAAAATTAATGAAATGAGGAAGTTGATAGGTTTTTTGAGATGTTAGAGGGTGCAAAATCAATAGGTGCCGGAGCTGCTACAATTGCTTCAGCTTTTTTTTTTTTTTTTTTTTTTTTTCTTTTCTTTTCTTTTTTTTTCATATCTGTATATTCAGAAATGAAATTCGAATACTCGAACCTCAAATTGAGGGGTCACTCTTCTTAATCGCTTGAACTACAAATTACAGGACCTCAGATAAAAGAGTCACTACTCCATAAACACTTGAAAGTGTACTTTTAGTTGGCTATTTCCTAGCAAATGTAAAGAGTCTGTAAGTTGGTTATTCCTAGTCTTAGAATTAATTGTAACTTGCAACGGTTGGAGCTTGTGGTAAACGAGGAGCATGATTGACTAGTGTTACACGACAAAGCTCTTTTCTGGTAAGAATAATTTGCATTCATATTGGATTTGGTTTCCCAATTAAAGATTGAGATGGTGTAAAGTCTATACAAATCTTCATAGAGTCTTAAATAAGGAAGTGGTTTAAATAAGGCCAATCTCTTTGTTTATTAGGTAAAAGAGTTAACCTAGTATATAAAGGGTTGGGCTGAAAGTTTTTTGGTACACACACCTCCTTTTTGCACTCTAATCAAAATTGTGAGATTGTTTTATAAGATCAAGGGAGAGAGATAAAAGGCTGTTAAGTTCTTAGATTTATCTAGGTGATAGTCTGAGAGCATAACATATCATTCATTCATCATGGAACGTTGTGGAAGCTTTGCTTGTGAGGAAGATCAACCTGCGTGAATTGGTGTTCATCCAACAGAAAGTGAAGAGGACGTGTTTGTACAAGACAAGAGTATTTGATCAATCTTCTTTTGTGGTGTAAGAAAGTATCAATTGAGTCTTGTATATGTCCTTACGTTTTTAGTGAAATTGGCTGTGTGCCTTGAGGTTTTTCTCTCTTGTGTGGAGGGTTTTTTCCTCGTGCGAGATTTCGTACAAATACGTTGTGCTTCGTTTATTTTCTCAGTTTGTTGTGTGTTTGATTTTTGCTGTGTAGTACAAGGATTAAATCACATATCAATCCTGCATATTGCGTTTTAATATTGATCCATCCAGGTTTACAATTACAATTGGTATCAGAGCGGTTCTCTAAACTTATTTAGAGAGATCATAGGGACTACTGTGATGGATCGAGCAGCTGGATCAATCTCACATCCGCCATACTTTGATGGTGAGAACTATGCTGCTTGGAAAGCAAAGATGAAGGCGTTTCTTTGGTCACTAGATGCTTGTGTTTGGAACACGGTAGTTTTTGGTTACTCTTCTCCAACCAAAACTATAATAAACAAATCAAAGACAATGTCTGATGAAGGTAAGGGAGATGGTGATGTTGTCACTGAGGAAGTTGTTTTCAAACCTCATGAAGAATGGACACTAGCTGAGCAAACTCACTCCATGAATAATCAAAAAGGATTAAATGCTCTATTTACTGCCTTATCTCCTGATCAATTCTCTAATATTTCAAATTGTGAGACCTCCAAGGAGGCTTGGGATATCTTGCAGGTCACATATGAAGGAACAAATGCTGTTAAAGAGTCAAAGCTTCAAAGGTATGTCACTCAATTTGAAATTATTAGAATGGAAGAAGATGAAACCTTTTCTGATTTCTATGCTAAGTTAAATATTATTGTCAATGCTTGTGCTAATCTTGGAGATAAAATTCCTGAATCTAGAGTTGTCAAAAAGGTACTTAGATCACTACCTACTAGGTTTCAACCTAAGAAAACTGCAATTGAAGAAGTTAGGGACCTAAACACAATGAAAATTGCAGAATTAGTTGGGTCTTTGAAAACCTATGAAATGGAACTTCCTACTGTGAAAAGGAGTAAAAACATTGCTCTAAAAGCTGTAAAAGAAGAATGTGAAGAAAGTGAGGAAATTGGTGATGAGGAATTTGCTCTAATCACTAGACAGTTTCAAAAATTTCTCAAGAGTAAAAACTTTAAGGGAAAAGGAACGAGTTCAGGATCTAAACCCTTTAAGTCAAACAATTTTAATTCTGAAAAAGGTTCCAGACTTGTTAAACAAACTGAGGGTCGAAAATGTTATGAATGTCAGGGTTTTGGACATGAGGCAAAAGAATGTGCTAATACCTTGAAGAAATTAAAATCTGAAAAAAACAAAGCCATGAAGAGTACTTGGAGTGATAGTGATCAATCAGATTCAGATTCGGACAGTGAGGTAGTTGCATTTGTGGGATTTGCAAATATCAATGATCTAGAGGAATCTGATAGTCAGGAGCTTGATGCGGAAGAAATACTTCAAAAATATAATGAACTTTATCATGTCTCTGTCAAAATTAGAAAGCATAGTTCTGATATGAAAGAAAAATTGAAAAATCTGGAAACTGAGAAAAGTAAGATCGAAACTATGTTTCAATCTCGTTTGTCTGAACTTGAGAAAGAAAACAAGTCACTGACTTCACAACTTGAGGCTTCTAAAGAAAAAATCATAAGATTAACCATTGGCGCAGAAAAGATTGACAAAATGCTCAGTATTGGAAAATCCAGTGGAGATAAAACTGGTTTGGGTTTTGATGGTTCTACCAATAGTTCTTCGGGAACAACATTTGTGAAAGCTTCAGGTACGTATGCTATGCCTAAGACTTGTGTTCTTACCTGTCATGCTTGCGGTGAGGTAGGTCATATTCGACCTTTTTGTGACAAAAAATATTTGAATCATTCTGATACGTTTTCTATTGGTGCAGCACGTACACAACTCTCAAATCTCTTGAGAGAAGCGAATAGGTTGTCTAAACTTGTTCATATTCCAAATTCATGGTTGCCTAAGATGAAACTTGTGTGGAGAGAAAAGAAAAGGACTAAATCAGTGAATGAATCACATTGTTGTTTACTTACTCATTCTTCCATTAAGTCCAATGATTTCAAATGCTTTGTTGCCTTTACTGCCTTGGATTCTTGCAACCCTAACAAGTGGTACTTTGACAGTGGTTGTTCAAGGCATATGACAGGTGATAAGCGTTGGTTTCAGACGTTCTCAGATAAAAAGGTAAGAGGCACGGTAACCTTTGGTGATGGTAAGAAAGCCAAGGTTTCAGGTGAAGGTACGGTTACAGCACCTGGTTTACCTGCTTTGCATAATGTTTTACTTGTTGAAAACCTTACTGCAAACCTTATGAGTATTAGTCAACTATGTGATGATTTTGGTCAGGTTATATTTGATGAAATTGAATGCATAGTAAGTACAAAAACAGGTGAAAAGGTCATTTGTGGACCAAGGTCTGATGATAATTGCTATTGTGCTATGGCTAATGGTTTGAATGTTTGCTACAGGGTTGAAAACAATATTACTAATCTATGGCATCGAAGATTAGGACACATGAATTTCAGAGATCTATTCAAAATTTCAAAGAAAGAATATGTAAGGGGGCTGCCCACATTAAGTGGAAAACAAGAAAGAGTTTGTGGTGATTGTCAAATAGGAAAGCAGACCAAAAGTTCACACAGTCCCACCAACTTCGCATCCACATCAAAACCACTGGAACTTATGCATATGGACTTGGTTGGTCCAATGCAAACTTTAAGTTTGGGAGGTAAAAAGTATATATTGGTTCTTGTGGATGATTTTACTCGCTTTACCTGGGTTGCTTTCTTGCATGATAAATCTGAAGCATTTAAATCTTTCTCTGTTTTATGCATGAAAATTCAGAATGAAAAACATGATAACCTCATTAGACTAAGGACAGATCATGGGACAGAATTTGAAAATCATCTATTTTCTGAATTTTGTGATGAACAAGGTATTTCACATGAGTTTTCTGCTCCTATTACACCTCAACAAAATGGGGTGGTTGAAAGGAAAAATAGAGTCTTGCTTGACATGAGTAGAGTAATGCTTAATTCTGCAAATTTGGCAAAACATTTTTGGGCTGAGGCTATAAGTTCTGCTTGCTATACTGCTAACAGAGTTTATTTAAGACCAAAGTCAAAAGCAACTCCTTATGAACTTTGGAAAGGAAAGAAGCCTAATGTGAGTCATTTGAGAGTCTTTGGGAGTACATGTTATATATACAAAGATAGGGAACATCTCTCTAAATTTGACTCTAGAAGTGACATTGGTATTTTTCTTGGTTATTCTTTAACTAGCAAGGCATATAGGGTCTACAACATTCGAACTAAGTCTGTAATGGAGTCTATAAATGTTGTGATTAATGATTCTGATTTGAAGCAGGTCAAACAGATAAATGATGATGATGATCTTACTGGAATGCAAACAGAGCATAGGTGTGATCAAGTTCAAGCAGCGAATGACGCTTTCAGTATCACAAACTCAGAAGACATCCATGACACATCATCTCAAACACTTAGAATTGGAGCTAAGCAAGTAAAAAGAGATCACAAGCCAGAAAACATCATTGGGAAGCTTCATGATAAAATGAGAACTCGAAGTCAAGATGTTGAAGAAATAAGCTACTTGTGTTATGTCTCTCAAATTGAGCCAAAAAATGTCAAAGAAGCCATAGTTGACAATGATTGGATCTTAGCTATTCAAGAAGAGTTAAACCAGTTCGAAAGGAATGATGTTTGGTATTTAGTTCCCCGGCCTAAGGATGCAAATGTTATTGGTACAAAGTGGATTTTCAGAAACAAGACTGACGAGAAAGGGAAGGTAATTCGCAATAAAGCTAGATTGGTTGCTCAAGGTTACACTCAAGTGGAAGGACTCGACTTTGATGAAACTTTTGCTCCCGTAGCAAGATTGGAATCAGTAAGATTGCTGCTAGCAATTGCATGCCATCTCAGGATCAAGTTGTACCAAATGGATGTCAAAAGTGCGTTTCTGAATGGAGTCTTGCAGGAAGAAGTTTACGTGGAACAGCCAGCTGGATTCAAAGATCATTTTTATCCTGATCATGTTTACCGACTAAAGAAAGCATTGTATGGTTTGAAACAGGCACCCCGGACTTGGTATGAGAGGTTGTCATCTTATTTGCTTCAAAATGACTACACCAGAGGAGCAATTGACAAAACTTTGTTTGTCAAACGGGTTAAAAGTGATTTAGTTGTTGCTCAAGTTTATGTGGATGATATTGTGTTTAGTTCTACATCAAATTTTCTAGTTACTGAATTTACTAATATTATGAGTAATGAATTTGAGATGAGTATGTGTGGAGAATTGAATTATTTTCTTGGTTTGCAGGTTCAACAACTTAAAGATGGGATGTTTCTGTCCCAAACAAAATATGCAAAGGATCTTGTCACTAAGTTTGGTTTGGAAAGTGCCAAACCCGTGAGAAATCCTATGAGCACCACAGAGAAGCTCCACAAAGATCCCACTGGAGAACAAATTGATCAAAAGTTGTATAGAAGCATGATAGGGAGTTTACTATACCTTACTGCTAGTCGTCCCGACATTTCCTTTAGTGTTGGTGTTTGTGCAAGATTTCAAGCATGTCCTAAACAATCACATTTGGCTGCTGTTAAAAGAATAATACGATATATAAGTGGGACTTTACACTTTGGAATTCATTATTCCTTTGACTCAAATGTGGAAATTGCAGGATTTTCGGATGCAGATTGGGCTGGTAATATAGATGATAGAAAGAGCACTTCAGGAGGTTGCTTTTATCTAGGAAACAACTTAGTTGCGTGGCATAGTAAGAAACAAAACTGTGTCTCACTCTCCACCGCCGAGGCTGAATACATCGCTGCTGGTAGCTGCTGCACACAACTGTTATGGATGAAGCAGATGTTGTGTGACTATGGTATAGTACAAGGTACGTTGATAATTTTTTGCGATAACCAAAGTGCAATTAATATCTCAAAGAATCCTGTTGAGCACTCTCGCACTAAACACATTGATATACGGCATCACTTTATACGTGATCTTGTAGAAGATGATCTTCTTGCATTGGAATATATTCCCACTGATAAACAACTTGCTGATATCTTCACAAAACCACTGGATAATCATCGATATGAACATCTCAGACAATCCATTGGTGTGTGCTCCATTGCCTGACTGTGTAGTTCTCAAAATGCCAGTAATGCATGTCTTTCGTCTGCATATGTGTCTTTCTATATACATATATATATTTCTTTTTAATCCCTCTGGGCTGCTACGATTCTTTTGATCTCAGATTGGATTACTATTATGGTTTCACTGCTCCATTAGATATAAGGTGGTATTTTATCTATCAAGAACCTGATATTGATATTCCTTATTTTGTCTGTTTTGTCATGTCTCAACTTCTCACTATCTCAAGTGTTTGTGGGGGTACGAATTCATGATCAATCAATACCTTGCTGATTATTGGGGCACTTACGCTAGTTTTTTTTTTGGTCCCCAAACACTTGAAAGGCGTGCATATACTGAATTATATACATTATAAATTACAATTTTTTTTTTCTCTTGGCTCGCCTTGGCAGTAGAAAGTTCAACGTTGCAAGGCACACAACGAAGATATGTAACTGTCTCACCGTTGTGACAACCGCTAGCAATATTGTGTCTCAAATAAATGATGCAAGGCACACAACGAAGATATGTAAATGTCTCACCGTTGTGACAACCGCTAGCAATAATGTGTCTCAAATAAATGATGCAAGGCACACAACGAAGATATGTAAACGTCTCACCGTTGTGACAACCGCTATCAATAATGTGTCTTAAATAAATGATGCAAGGCACACAACGAGGATATGCAAACGTCTAAACGTTGTGACAACTGATAGCATCTGTGTCAATTATTAGTTTGGTACTCTCATTTCATGGCTTTAATAGAAATTTACAAAACTGCCAGTTTGTGGACAAAATTGTTGGTTTGCATGGGCTCCTTTAGTTCGTAAGGGGTGTTGAATATGGTTCCTTAATCCCACACTCTTGAGACACACTTACACCACCTCACACAAGCTGTTTAAAATTCCCATACTCTTTCCTTGGTTTTCTAGTTTTTAAATTTCCTCTTATCTCCTGTGGCTTTCGTTAAACTAAATGGACTATCCTGTATGCTGTGCCTAAGAGGAACTAGTATTGCCCTTTGGGATTGTCATTCTATTTCTATTTATCTCATGCATATCTATCTCTTTCTCTCCTTACTGGCAATTTGAACTACCATTTACTGGCATGGCATACCTTAGCTCTGTGATCACTGATCCGCTGCCTTTGATCTCTGTTCATTGGTTTCTTTGGCTTTCCCTTGACAAAAAGGGGGAGTAGTAATATGTTTTGTGTTTGTTAGATTCAGGGGGAGAATATGTTCTGTAGATCTTTTAAATTCTTCTGCAAATATATCTTTTGTGCTTCACCGGTAGTTTGTGCTTGTGCAGATAAATGCTTTGGAATTGCTATTAGTTCTTTTTGATTGGGAATTTTGTCTAGGAAATGCCAAAGGGGGAGATTGAAAGTGTACTTTTAGTTGGCTATTTCCTAGCAAATGTAAAGAGTCTGTAAGTTGGTTATTCCTAGTCTTAGAATTAATTGTAACTTGCAACGGTTGGAGCTTGTGGTAAACGAGGAGCATGATTGACTAGTGTTACACGGCAAAGCTCTTTTCTGGTAAGAATAATTTGCATTCATATTGGATTTGGTTTCCCAATTAAAGATTGAGATGGTGTAAAGTCTATACAAATCTTCATAGAGTCTTAAATAAGGAAGTGGTTTAAATAAGGCCAATCTCTTTGTTTATTAGGTAAAAGAGTTAACCTAGTATATAAAGGGTTGGGCTGAAAGTTTTTTGGTACACACACCTCCTTTTTGCACTCTAATCAAAATTGTGAGATTGTTTTATAAGATCAAGGGAAAGAGATAAAAGGCTGTTAAGTTCTTAGATTTATCTAGGTGATAGTCTGAGAGCATAACATATCATTCATTCATCATGGAACGTTGTGGAAGCTTTGCTTGTGAGGAAGATCAACCTGCGTGAATTGGTGTTCATCCAACAGAAAGTGAAGAGGACGTGTTTGTACAAGACAAGAGTATTTGATCAATCTTCTTTTGTGGTGTAAGAAAGTATCAATTGAGTCTTGTATATGTCCTTACGTTTTTAGTGAAATTGGCTGTGTGCCTTGAGGTTTTTCTCTCCTGTGTGGAGGGTTTTTTCCTCGTGCGAGATTTCGTACAAATACGTTATGCTTCGTTTATTTTCTCAGTTTGTTGTGTGTTTGATTTTTGCTGTGTAGTACAAGGATTAAATCACATATCAATCCTGCATATTGCGTTTTAATATTGATCCATCCAGGTTTACAATTACAACACTTGAACTACAAACTCCTTTGAGAGGAAAATTGAGAGATAAAAAAACAAAGTTGAGTTCGAGTGTAGTGATGAAATTGTTGGGTGTGTTTAGCAACTCTAGGAAACAAACCAAAATAGAAGTTGTTTACGATGAATTGAAAAAAAAAAAAAAAAAAAAAAAAAAAAAAAAAAAATGATATGACACACACTCACTACAGACAGAGTGAAGTGCGCTCCTACCCTCCTTTCCTTTCTTAGCTTCTCTCTCTCTCTCTCTCTCTCTCTCTCTCCGAGCTGCGTGTCTGCGCTGTGTTTCTCTCAGTGGAAACCAACCCGACCTTATTCTATTATTGAACCTCACTTCTTTTTTCCTTTCTATTTTCTTTCTCTTCTTTTTCTGATTTGAGTGCAGGATTTAATAAGCGAATGAAGCAGCCATTATTGCTGTCTTCCTGGGTTTTCTGGTCTCGCAACAAACATGGCCTTCTCTTCTTGCCTTTGCCAATCTCCACTCTCACCCAAGGTATGGTTTTTCCTTCAAGCTTCATTTTCTCTTACCTCCAATTAATTGGGTTTTTACTTCTTTTTTTCTTTCAGTGATCTTTTTCTTTAAAAATTGTAGTTTGATGGTAGGTTTGGATGAATTTCTGATCCACTTGAAATGGGTATCTGGTATAGTTTGAAATTCGTTATCTGTAGTCCATCCAATCCAAGATACAAGATCAGAGTTAGCATTTTGATCTATTTGTGCTAAACTTTCTTTCCATGTCAAAGGGGTGGTATGTTTTCCCAGCGTGGTTCCAATAATTTACAGATTGGGTCAACCGGCATTGTTACTCTCTTTGTTGGCTCTTTAATTTTTCAACCTGGAAACTTATTTAGAAATAAAAACAACTAATTTGAGTTGAAAAAGTTAGTGATAATTGGTTCATTGAATATCACTTATGATAGTTTAGAGCTCAGAGGGGTCATGAAAACCTTCTGCAGCAATTTGATGGGTTGCTCATGTAATTTTTTAATGTGCTTTTGCTGTCATTCTTCTATCTGTATTATTGAAGCATTATTGATCAATTAATTTTACTGTTTAACTGTGTAATGAGTTTGAAGTACAGGATAACTTGCGACTATTTTCATAAACAATCTCATGTTTAGCCACTGAGCATAATTTTGTAGTGGTGGGCTTCTCTTATTATTTAAGTTCCGTTTCTGATAGATTGACTGCGGCAAGAAGATTGTCAGGCCTTGGAGTAGTGATGGAAGGAAACAAAGGTTCACTTTTTCACTCGGAAGTAATAGCACAGAACTTGTTGGTCAACAGCTTGTGACAGTGGGAGCTCACTTACACAAGCACTGGAGTTTTGTGGGAGGTTCAAGAGTTACTGTGAGACCAGAACTTGAGAGATCCATTCCACTTCGAAAAAGCTCAGGAGTATATGCAGCATGTGATCCCTTCTCCCACTTTAATTCCTCTTAGTCATTTATTATTATCATTTGTAATGTGGCATGGCTGAGTTAATTATACATTGGTAGTAACAGGTCTTCGCAGAGGTATGTGAGGGCAAAAGTCTGTATGAAGACCAAAGCACATATGTATCCCATGCATAAAATACTTAAGTGCAAGAAAACTGTGGAAATGGAAAAATCCCTAGCATGTTTTGGTAGAACTGAAATTCAAGTACCAACATATGTGCAAAACAATGTGCAAGTGTTATATAAACAGAGAAAGTTACAACTAGCTTTGACAACTTTGGTCAGTTTTGTGAGAAAAAATATATTTATGAGTTCATATGTATGAATTTCAAATCGACTGACAATTGCAGCAACATTACAAAACAGTTTGCCTGTTAAACAATGTTCTTGTAACATCTAGTTGTGTAGTTCTTAAACAAATCTAGTATCTCTGTATTGCCCCCAATATTGTTAATTTTGACTATGAACTACAGTATAATGCGATAGCCTCGTTGAAGGCTTTATGGATTTTGCATACATGAATGAAAGTTTTGACATAGTTTTCAGATCCAATTTCTACCCGATTCTTGAGGTGTTATCCTTTCAGAGGTGTAAACATAAGTAAAGGTTGTTTTAGCTTAACACCTTCATTGTTCTAAAGCCATTGTAATAAAAAAAGACAAAAATAAAATCTTACAAATGCATATCCTAACAATAGCATCCATTTTAGTAATCCAGTATTTCACCCTGTGTAATGGTTGGCTGAGTTCTTCTAAATGTTTGAAGTTCCTTCTCTAATTTCTGCTTTATTGTTCGGGAAGCAGTCCTTTTCACAACCTTTTTTTTTCCATCATGTAACTGCCACCAACTATTAGGGACATGGGGGCGTAAAGAAGGGGATCCTATGGTGTCTACATGTCACTTTTTAGTCCTTAACTGAACTTTTACAATGTTTAAATGCTTTACTGCCCATTGTTGCAAGCTTTATAGTCCTGGGGTCTCACTTTTTGGATACAGTTACTGCATTTTAGGCTGAAGGAGTTCATGAAATTAGAGACCACCAGGTTTGGGTTGAGAATTGAGCTGTTGCGTGATTATTTGATTACCGTAGTTAATTACTGTGAATGTCGTGCTTGCCAAACTGATAGTATCAAAGTCGCACAAACATTAGCACCCCGAGCTAGATAACTGTTTTTGTAAATGTCCTTATGACTTGTTCTTGTTGTTCCATGTTGCAAATGATGCTGCAATATCAAGTTCTGCAAGGCTCTTCCAATACCTTTTTTCTAGTGTTGTGGTGTTGATATTTTGGTACATCTGGCATCAACATTTTCCCCCTACCTTTTAAGTTTATTGGTTTGTCTTTTGGCAATTCCTGTAATTACTGATGAACTTGAATCCCGTGAAATAGATCCCTAGTAGCGTCGTCATATGATGCATATAAGGTTGATAGCTTTTGAAGTTAAAAATCTTCTTATTTTGTCTAACCTGGAATAATTTTTAGCCATTAAATGTTTCTGTGATCCATACATTTGATGTTAAGTTCCTCATGTTAGTGTGAGTGAGAATAGAGATGGGAGGGCCAGAGGGAGACTTAGTTTCAAATCTTACTGATAAAATACAGTTCATGTTCTTTTTTTCAGGGTTGTCAACTTCTCAAATTGCTAGCACTGCTTTTACTTTGGGAACAACTGCAGTTCTCCCATTTTACACCCTCATGGTTCTGGCACCTAAAGCTGAACTAGTATGTTTCTGTATTTATTTCAGTCCTCTGATTCTCATTCAATGTAGCAATTTTAGTTCATCCTGTGTAGATTAATTGTTTTAGATTGGTGTAAACTATTGAAAGCTGTTATATGAGTGCATTTGGCTATATGCATATGCTTTCTTTTTTTCCAAATTGCTACACTCCCTTCCCTAAATTCCTTGTTTTCTGGTTCTTGGTTTCCGTATTAGTTAATTCAGGTTGTCAATGTATGGATGGCATAATTCGTCTCAAATTGGGTCTTTATGGCTTTTACAATATATCTCACAAAATTACATTTTCCTCATTCTCCTTGTAACTCTCATTTGAAAATCCATTTGTTTATTCTTGACTATTTTCTGAACTCAGACTGATGCACCCAATTATTTCAACTAATGTAAAATGCAGACGAAAATTTCTATGGAAAGTAGTATACCGTATATTGTCCTTGGCATTCTCTATGCTTATCTACTGTACCTCTCTTGGACTCCTGAAACACTTCAGTTGATTTTCGCAAGTAAATACTGGCTTCCTGAGGTATGTATTAGCATGTTTACTTTTGGTAATCTTTTCTGATGGGTTTTGAAAATTTCTTATAAAAAAGTTTATTTTCTGCCTATGTACTATGTGCAGCTGCCTGGTATGGTAAGGATGTTTTCCAACGAGATGACATTAGCTTCTGCTTGGATTCACTTGTTGGCTGTTGATCTCTTTGCTGCAAGGTAGCTCCCTCTCCCTCTCGTGTGTCCGCGGCTTTCTCAATTCTAACACTCATTGCTCATTCATCCAGGCAGGTTTTTCGCGATGGACAGGAAAACGAAATTGAGACCCGGCATTCAGTTTCTCTTTGCCTCTTTTTCTGCCCCATTGGAATTGTTACTCATGTCATTACCAAAGCACTGACTAGAAGTGCTGGAAGTTCCAGCACACGTAATATGCATTGACAACTAAAATTCTTCCTGAACAATCAGGATTTATTGGGAAGTTGAATAAGAAAACTTTGAATTTGAATGAAGGTTCTTATGTTGTCAGCAATTTACAGACATTCTCTCTTTGCAAGCACTGATCTCATAGTTTCTTCACCAGATACGTTCACAAGTCATTTATCTTTGTTATGCGGTGGATATATTATTAATTATGAAATATGTCATGAAGAGAAATATGTTATTTAATTTAATTTATTAATTAAAAGAATACAATATCAAATTCAGGTAAACACAAAATGAAACATCAACTACTTGTTGAAATATATGGATGTATGCAAAAGGAAAAAGCATAGATTAATGAAAACACCGTCAAGATCAACAGCGAAAGATGGATACTAACAATATTACTACCTAATCAGCCTAAGAACATGGCTGTGGTGGCGTTGCTGTGGACCGCAACCGCTCCTGTGGTGGTGGCGGCGGGGGGTTTCCATCGGTCGAGGTAAGAAATGAAGTGGAACATGAGGTTTTGGTGCCGGGGGTGGGGATCTCCCGCGGAATCTTGACACTAGTTTTAATTCATTCGTGGAAAGGCCGGAGAAACCATCAGTGGCCTTAACCATGTAACTCGACCGTGACAATAGTAGTAGTCCATAAATCAACAACAAATTTAGCAAACTTAAAATGGCATGCATTTCTGCGTAGCTTCGCTTTTTCAGTTGGAGAGCCGCAACATGCTGCTGTTTTTATAGCTAGCCATTAATGATTTTGTTGGGATAAACAAGTTTTTCTTATCGATTGAATCTTTCAAAAAATAATATATAATAACAAAAATACCACTCCTGTCTAGTGGAGACTCGTGCACAAAACTCCTAAGAAATATTGTATGAAAAATGAAGAGGCACTTCTTGGAGATTGTGAACATGATAATTGCACTTGTTATCCTATGTGATCATGTCATTTTTTAATACAAGCGATAGTCCAAATTAAAAGGAGGTTTGAATTTCAAATAACTAGTCTGCAAGTCAATGCATTTTTCCATTAGGTTAGACCCATTGGTATATGGTCAAGTAAACTTAATTAAAATAATTGAGGCAGTGTGGAACCAAGATTTGAAAATTGAAAGTAAATACAGCTAAACCTAATACTATATCTAGAAAGAAAATTATAAAATAAATAAAAAATTGATAGGGTTTTGAGTGGATGTTTAGAATTTTTCAGCATTTGCAAATCGGGTTAAAATGATACAATAAACTAAATAAAATAATATGATTGAAACAAAACTCAACAATACCAATAAATTTATTTTAATAAGCATAAATAAGTACATTTTGTAGATGGATGTAAAGAGCCTTACATTTTGTAGACAAATGTGTCTTTATACATAAATAAAAACTTCGATTAAAAAAAAAAAGACAACAAAAAATCATGCAAAACTAAGCTCTGAGAACATGGTTGTGGTGGCTGCACCGGTGAAAGACCTTGGCCGTCTCTTCAGTGGTGGCAGCGGAGGTCGCGATATCTTCAACCATGGTATTGATAGCTTCTGCTTCAGCCGTGGTTGTGGTTGTGGTGGCAGCGGTGGTTGTGGAGATCGCTTGAGTGGAGGTGGTGGGAAATTACGCAACAAATCATTTTTCTTTCTTTCTGACTAGAACATAAGCGACAAAGTTAAAATGCACCCACAACAAAGTAATTATATTACTACGGCCAAGACTCAGTAGTTTGCAATTCACACACAAAAAACAAAAAAAATGAGCTTTGCTTCAACTTTAGACTTAACTCTACCTTTTAATTGTAAATCCGATTTAGGGGAAGTTCGTAGTTTACACTTCACAAGAAGAAAAAAAATATTTTGTTGGTAAATCCGATTTTAGGTTTAAACTACACAAACATATTTTCTAATCGAATGAATTTATCCTATTTTCTTTTCTTTTGTGTCATCTTTTATTTAATGTCATGAAAAATCTGTAAGTAGTGGTAAGTTGGTAACATATTCAGATGCCATTACACTTTAAAAAAAGGGGAAGTAGAGGAACAAGAAACAGAAGTTAAATATAATTTCTCAACTGGTGACCTCGGCCACATTACAATGATCTGTGACTACTATGAAAAAGAAAAAAATGGGTATTCAATTTTCACACAGCCGTTGTGGGGTAGCTGATCATAAGATAATAGTAAGTTCTTTGCCTCAAAGCTACAATTAATTTGAAGCAAGAACGGCGACGAAAATGCGTAGTGAATAATATAAACCCATCCCTACTTCTCTCTCTATTCGTCAGATAGCAGGCGTCACCGGATGTCTACAATTGCTGAACATGGTTCGTGATTTCCTCAGGGCAAGATTGGGCCTGTAAAAGCTCCAAACGGTTGAAAGGAGGAGCAAACTGCAATATGTAATCTTCATCTGAAGCAAAACATGCAAAATTAGTACATTCATTATTTTAACAAATGCTCCATCTGATTGCAGAGGAAGCATTGCTACATTAAACATAAATCTAAACTCACAACTGCTTCAGCTATGGTAAAAGTTGAAAGAAAATTCTCAAAAATTAGTGTTTTCTTTTTTAACTAGAAGGGAGGAAGAGAGAGATAAGAGATACAGAAGAGGAAGAACAGATTTAACTAGTTAAAATTGCTTCCAGTCTTTATTTTAAAAAACATTTGTTTTCTTCATCCTCTCTCGGATCTCCATGTCCACTCTTTCTTAGAAGACAAAAAAGGTTCCAATATAAGATGATGCTATTTTTATACTTTTTTTTCCTGTTGATTGGGCAACCAATGGAGCTGAAAGGAAAAAGGATAACAAATATTAAAAACTCACTCTCTTTAACTGTCCCGTACAGCCAGCATAATACCTCATCAGCAAATGCCAAGCAAACTCCTCCCTGCCAACCACATTCATTAGAAATGCCAACTAGTTTCATTACAAGTGAAAAGAGAGCATTTATTGACCACAGCTGCAAAGCAATAATCTGCAAATCCTAAGATGACCACAGCGGTGTTCGTCATGTACAACTTGAGACAGCTTTTGCTCAGGTTCACATGTGCATATCTCCTTACTAATTGGACTAATGATATGAGTCAGATTATCTAAGTCAAATGTTTTTTAAAGTGTGACAGGTACGAAGGTGCCTGGCGATCATGTACATTGCAGAAAACAAAACTCACCTGCCAGTAGTTCTTCATTTTCACTCTTTGTGTAATATCTTTGGTTCTTAGTCTCTCTGTGCGGACAAGTCGACCGGCATCATCCCTGCATGAGAAAACCAAAACAAACAAAAAATGGATATTTAAACAGATCTAAATTTGTAGAGCAGAAAATAAAAGAATTTCCACAGAAACTCTCCAGTGCAAGAAACTGCACGCGGAATATACAATGCATGCGTGATTATTGCTCAGTTTTCTACGAATTCAAAGCTTGTATTTATGCCAACTATAAGAACTACCATTCTTTTGCAGCCTTTAATATGTATTGCTATCTAATCCATCTTAAGTAGCAATTGTACAAGTATTTGTCTAAGCAGCAAGAAAGTAAAAGGCTGAAGTAGCAATTGGGGTTACCTAAATCCAATGACAATATAGGGAACACCCGCTAAGAAGGATTGTATCTGCAGCAAATAAAATAGAAAGTTAACTCTTCTACAATTAACAGAATTTACACCTGCTAAGAATGACTGAGACTGCAGCAAATATAATAGACGAGTTAACTCTTTTTACGAATAACAGAATTTTTAAAATATAAATAGGGAAAGGACCAGAGACGATGACAAAACCCAATTCCCTGAGAAAATTAGGCAAAGCCCAAGCACAAACAAATTATGCAACTTTTCATGTCAATCTCTAATACAAACTCATGAAGACTCGTGTATTTCTACGTAGGAAAACAGTACAGTAAAGAATGCACCAATGGGAGAGAAACATAAATATTAATTTCTCATAGTTAGTTAAATGTACCCAAAACTTGAGGAGCTTCTCTCTCTCAAATCTTTCCTCCGTATGATAATCCAACTGCAAAAGTAAAAGGCGAATTTACAGGCAGGAAGGTAAGAATAAGACTCGGAGAACAAAAAGAATTGCATGGGAGGGGAAAGCAAGTCAACCTCACGACTTGTCTTTAGCTCCACATAAAACCTCCTCCCATCATCAGTTGAATCACAACAATCCATTTCAGCACCCATTAGAATACGATGGGCCCCTAATTTTGTTTTGATCACAGAACAGAATTCAACATTGGCATCAACATGATGTATCCCTCCGTCACCTCTCCCTGGATCTTCAGTGGCAAGACTCTCAAAACAATAACCCCAGTAACACCTAAGTTGAAAAGATAACATTTGCATAAAGCACACCTGAAATTGCAAATAAGCAATAATGGAAAGAAGCATGCCTACACATGTTCGAGAATTTTGAACCAGTTAGAAGAAGTAGAACAAAATGTCAGTTACAAGTCGCTTCAGATGTATTCATTAATAAAAATAAAATATTCATCATCTCCCTCAGTACCTTCCTGTTTAATCCTAGCCGAAAGGAAGCATTTATGCCTAAATTCAGTAAAGTAAATCATATACCTTATGAGATCACTTGTGCACAAACTCTTATGTACATCTCAGTACTATATTAAAGTTTCCCAGCAAGAATGAAAAGCAACAAGCTTTGACACTCCTTATCAAAATCCCCCTTTTTCATAATAAAAACTTGAAACAGTTAATTCATCCTTACATTTTGAGTACAAATGTTTGCAAGCAGTGATAGTCTTTTATAAATTATTTCTTAGGCAACAGAATTCATTGATTAGACCAGGGAAGCAATTTCAATAACTCCATTGCCTAAACCAGGGAATAAATTTCAATTAATCCAGGAACATGGTCCTCGTCATCCTAGAAAGACCATGTGAAATTTCTAAAAGAAGAAATGAAATTCCAGTACCTTCGACGATCCAATTCACTTTGTGGCCTTTCAGGTAGTTTATGCACATCAAGATAGACAACCCCATTCCTTTTATGCACTCCCATTTCCCAAGGCTCGTGTCGAATATAAGCAGTGGCCAATATCTACAGAAAAGAGAGAAGCACTTGAAACACACACAAAAAAAATTGTTTACTAGACCTAAAAAGACAACAGGTGAAATATTAGACTAATAAACAGTGAGTTGAGGTATTATACACCATTGGGTCTCTAGTATGTTGCTTCTGGTGGATGCCCCATCTTTTAGTTAATTGCATCAATCTGGTTCTTATATAACCGTAAGTACATAAAGATATTCTTTCAGTAACTTGAGTATCCCCCTAAAACAGCCATGAGAGGTCTGTTTATATATTGGTTTGTGCAGTACACTGCTGGAATTTGTACCATCTTATCCAAGATTACAACACATCCACACTCCAAATTATAACTAATCCATGGTTCATCAACAATATCCAGTGAACCTAATAAAGAAAATGATCTTGAGAACAAAATTATGCAAAGTGACTTGGAGATACCTTGTTAAGATTGTTACGATAAGTCTGTCAAAGAGAAAAAAGGAGGAACAAATTTATTAGTTAACAACCGAATGAAAGAATTATACAATAACAAATTTAAAGTGCATATGTTTCGTACCACAAAATGAATATTTTGAAGTGGAATATTCTTGTCTCTTATGCAGGCAAGAAGGTCACCAAAACCTTGAGAGCCCAAATCTGGTTTAGATGGGGGAAAAACAGAAAAAGGAAAAACACAAATTTGCCTGCAAAAATCAGCCCTCATATGCATAACCCCAAAGAAACAAAAATAAACTAACTCCAAGACATAACTCTAACTCTTAATAAAATCGTTGCAATAATTTAGACACAAAGCTTACCTTTCTTTCCAATAAAAGTATCATAACCATCATTGAGATCGGCTCCAATGTCTTCAGTAATAAGACGTTTGAAAAGCCTCTAATGTGGACAAAAGAACAATATAAATGAGTTAACGATTGACATGGACTACCATATACGAGACAAACCTAACAAAAGAATGGCCCATTAAGAAAAGCAAGCTACAGAATGCTTACCAAGCTGGTATCATCAAAGGTGACATCTCCACCTTCTACCCGACTATAGCAAGCAAGTTCACAGGGCTATTGGATAAAATTCTCAAATTAGCAGAGGAAAAAACAACTAATTTATATGCCATACACCAGCCAATTGACAAGGTTAACTTTTCAACATGGGGATTAAATGCCTTATCAACAAGTAATGGCTACTTGCATCATTGAACCAAAAGCCAAGGCAACACTTAAAGGAAATTATTTTATAATTTATAGAAAGGGAATAAACTAATGAGTCTGAAATTTAGACTGTCCCGCTAGTCTCTTTTAGTTAAAACATTTTAATAAGAAATTTAAAACATTTTAATAAGAAACTGTCTGAGTTAAAACATAAGAGTTAGATATGTTTTATGCTTTCCATGCACCATTGATAAATCAACCTTAAAAGTGCTCGACTTATAAAGGAGAAAGAAAAGGTAGCACAGAGATTAATAATCAGTTGACTTACTTCCTGAAATGCAATCATCTTTCTCGATAGTGTTTCTTCACTCTTTGTAAGTCTTAGATCCGAAACAAATCGTTCATCACGATGACCATTTGAGAACTTTGAACCATAACCGTAATTATGCCTCTGTGGATAAGGTCCGGGTCGGGGAAGGATGCCTGCACCTCTGTCATTTGGATGCCCTGATTGCCAACGACCGCGCCCAAAATTTCCTCTACCCTGATTATTAGTATTGCGTATGACAGGCAATACTGCCAAGAATAGTTTGATGAGTACGGGGATTTTTAGTACCAAAAATTCAGAAAGAGTAGCAAACTAAGAATTTAAACTGAAACCTTAACATTAACAGCTTATATCTCATATTGAAACAAATTCAGCCTGAAAGTATCTAATATTAATCCCTCCCAACGTAAGCAAGTCAGAACAAAGAGGCACTCCAAAGAAACAAAAATTGCAGTCCCAAAATCACAACACTACGAAAAGAAATTATTGAAATAAATAGAGGCCAGAAGAAAAGTGGGTAGCACACAAACATGCCCAATACCCATCAAAGAAGACCACTTGGTCAAGCCAGAAAACCCATCAATACAACCTAATAACCAACCAAAGCACCAAAATGCAAAATATGCATTAAAGAAAATTACTTGGGCATGCTACAAAACCATGAATATACGTATATAACTCAATAAGCAACCAAAATGCTAAGTACCCATGTTTTTACTACGCTAGAAGAACCATCAACAGAACAAAATAAGCAACTAAAATACCAGAAAACTATACCAAATCCATACAAAACACCAACAACAACAAAAGTAATTACCAGGAATAAGGAAAGGACTAGTAGCAGGGGTTTTACAGAAATCTTCATTATCAGACCCGAACAGATCCTTATCTCCGTCCCCAAAATAACCCCTATTGTTAAACTCATTGCTGTTGGCGGCGTTTGAATTATCAGCCTCATCACCATTCTCTTCCTCTTCTTCACCACCACCACCACCAGCACTGCTGGCGCTTGGGCTATTGCCACTGCTGGACTCGCCTCCATCGCTGCCGTTGGATGAAGAAGAAGCCGACGACGATGAAGATGATGAAGACGACGATGATGAGGAGGAGGATGGTGAGGATGAATGGGCCGCATCTTGGGTATTATGGTCGTCGTCATCATAGTCCTGGCCGAAGATATCTTCGTGCTGCTTTGAAAAATCCATCGAAAGAGCCCCTTTGGGGAAAAATCTTTGTGGGTTTTGGTTCGATTTTTGGTTTTTGTTAAGTTCTGCCTGTGGGTCTGTGTGTTTGGAGCTGGAAATTGTAAGTGGGAGACTGAGTTGGTGTGGATGGTGACTCGGTTACGAGTTCACCCGGTGAGCGGGCTCGAAGCTAACTTTAATTTTGTTATTAGCTTTTTTAAAGGTTCACCTTGAAAATATTTTGTGATTTTCAGCATACAAAATTAAAAGGAATTTTTTTTTATTTTTTTGCAGTAATAAAAGAAATCCAACTTTAAAACCAACCAACTTAATTAGGTCTTCTCCAACCCAAATTTTTTTGTCACAAAACAATCGTTAAACCCAATTTTTCTCTCTTCAAAAAGTAACTATTTGGGCTTTGCTCTGACTCAAACCCTTTTCCCCCCCAACCCTTGATACTCAAATTTTAAATCCACGACTTTATTAAATTGTTTAAAAATGGTTTAAGTTTAATTTTTTTAAAATGGATAACTTTTCTTCATTTAATCTTTTTAAATAATTTCATAATTTTTTATTTTTTTTAACAATTTGACCTTAAAAAATTGAAATTCCACAAAAATTGAAATGGGAGGGTATTTATAGAGTTTGAAGTGAGTTTTGGGATTGGATCTGATTTAGATTAATTTAAAATATTATTTTAACTATTGGATTTAAATTTCAACCGTTGAATCTTTATTTTTATCGTTAAAATAGCTTGAATTTAATCTAGATCGTTGATTTGGGTTACTATTGGAAAAAAAAATTTAAATGCTTGTTTGAATTGTGTCGTTGGATTCCAACGACTACATCACATGCACGTGACACGTGGGACGAGGAGGTTTGCAACAGCAGCAATAGCGACGCGGGCTCGTTTCACAGTTGCTTACACATGGCATGCGTCAGCTTTTAGTGGGCTCCATAGAAAAAGTTTCCAGTCCCGGCAATAGCTGGACTATATTTAGCCCTAAGTTTGGGTTTTCCCAAATTTTGGCCCTTTAATTTTCTTGGATTGGGAGGAGAATTGGGCTATATTTTGGAATATTTTGGGTTTGGCCTCATGGGTTGGAGATAGCTTAGAGTAGATACCATACAAGCCCACAAGTGTTTTAGGTTACAATTTTGACCATAAACCCACCTTTCATGTAAGTTTCGATTAATCTCAGGCAAGGTCTTAAATATCGATAGTTTCGGAAATATCGGGTGTTCAAAAACACAGAAATATCAATGGAAATATCGATATCGATAAAAATTTGATAAAAACCACGGAAATTGTGATAAATACATGGAAATTTTTAATAAAACTTTAGAAGAAGTTTATTTAGTCAATCATCTATTATTTTGACACAAAAAATTGGAAGGAAATGCATTGCATAGTGGGTTTGAGTGATTTAAGTTGATTATATTGCGAGCTGACAAACTCTGTGACTTAGAAAATATGGAGTAATTAATGAAAAGAATTAAACACCCCATAGTAATTTATTTATCATTTTTTAGTAAAATATTTTACATTTTATAAATTGCATGGTAAGATACATGTGTAATCTTATTCACATTATTCATTGGACATGGTACACGTTCTTATATTTATTATTTATCAAAAATTGAAAAATAATTGAACCAACTTGACTTTTCATGAAAATTAGGCACTTTACCATACTTAAAAAATAATAGTGAAGATTGAAAATTAACTAAGAACATAAATAAATTTATCAAATGAAGAATTAAGTAGTAAACAAAGAAAATAATTATGGATATTTAAGTAATTAAGCAACAATTTGAAGGGGAATTTAGTAATGTAAGTACTTATGATGAAAAATAAATTAATCAATAACATCAAATGGATTAAATAGAAAAGAAATAAATTATATTAAGTAATTAAGTAACTGATCAACAATATAAAACAATAAGTAATTATGTTAATTTCTATTTTGAGAAACAGCTCGCATGTATTATAAATACATATTCCATAGCTTATTATCACAAAGTGATGACTGGCGTAATGGTTAAGTGGCTGCAAAATTTCGGAGTAGAGAGGCTTCGATTTCTGCTTGGGTTGTTGTCTATGACTTAGGCTGGATTAGATGTAACTGTACTGAAATTGCACGTCAGCACCTTCAACTAATGGGGCTTAGTTGGAAATTTATACCAATGTTGAGATTGGCAGAGCTTTAGTCAAATTTAGCCATGGAGAGGCTTTTCGAATGTGCAGAACTAAGATCTCTTCAATTTGGACTAGACTAGAAGTCTGGATTGGGGATTGATGGCCTAGAACTGTACTTCAGTACCTATTCTGCTTCACTGTGAATCACCTAAGAGCTATTCTTGTAGTTATGTGACGTCAAGGTATCTTTGAAAATTTGTTGAGGTTTTCATATTATGAAAAACCCGAACTTCACTTGATTCATCTACTCTGAACCAAGGTTGTAATGAGAGAAGTCTCATTTCTCTTATGGATTAGTTCTTTGAACTAAACCGAAGTCAAAATTCTGAGTTCTACCTGTTTTTTCAGAGGTTGGATGGCTTTCACAAACCAAAGAGCTTGGTTGTTTCTGAGTTTGAAAGCTTTGGGATCATATGATCTTGCTTGATTTTGTTAGTGTGACTAAGAGTTTTTGTTTTGATTGGATTTTTTGCTGTCCTTTATCCTATTCACATCCTCATATATTTATAGGAAATATGCATGAGTGATTATTCCTTAATATCTGGAGGACACATTGTTGAGAGGTTTATTTGCTCATGCGTAAAAAAGGGTAATAGTTAATTTGACAAGAAAACTCTCATCAAGAGTTAGTTTTCATGATGATTAGTTCTGACCTTCTGACAACCCACTCTCTTATTTCTCGTTCGTCTACCAAGCTTGTATTGACTAGACTCTCACGAGTATGGGAAGGAAACTTGGCCCTCTTTTCTGGCATTTAATGGTTTTGGGGAGTGGTTTTTTATTTTACCTTTCTACCAACTCCCCTACGTATCATCTGTCCTTTTCTTCTGTTGATGTCTTGTCATTGGGATCACGTGGGCATCGTGGAGAGAAAAATCCTCCCTTTTATCTGCTGATCTGATCCTTTGAATTAGTAATCAACAATGATAATCAAACCTGAGCTCTTGAAAAAAAATCTAGAAGTTGGGTATTAATTAAACCAATTAAATTTGGCTTATTCAGATTAAATTACCATAAATGGTAATTAACCTTTAACCTGTGAAAAATATTTTTGTAATTGGTTTGAAATGGTCTGGGCCTCTAAACATCCCGGGTTGATTCCCAATTTTGGTAAAATAAAGCCCAAACCCTTGTCGTTGATATAGGCCCAAACAAAATGTAATCAATTTGTTTATCTTTCAATTATGATTCATTTTTACTTTAGTTTTGGGCCAAAGGCCTTAAGGTCTAGGGTTGATTACTTTGTGACATTGGGTCCCACAGTTCGCTTGCTCGAGCCATCCTCAAGCTCTATAGTTCACTTGTTCATGAGCTTGACAACCCTAAGTCTTATGGTTACCGACCTGTCACGACCCGATTCAAGAATAATGAATATTCCCGAATCAGGGTATGAGTTATACTATAATTAAGAATAAAAATCCTACAACTATGATATGATGAGCCACAAATAATACAAATTCACTTAATAACACAGAATTAGAGTCACGATAGCTCGTAGTTAAATATACACTAGGATCCTTATCAAACGGTTGACTACTTACAAATATTAATTACACAAATCAACAACAAAAGCCTAGTTATCTTGGTTGAAACACTCTTCCTCAAACTTCGCATTGAATCATGCACAATCTGTTAGGGTATGAGCATTCTAAATTCTAATGCCCAATAGAGTACCATCAAACCCCTTAAGGTCAACCATCACAATTAATCAAAGTGTCATGTATCAAACAACACAAGATACATAAATTATTCAACCAGTCCATAATAGATAAATAAATTTGTATATGCAATGATGCCATGGACTCACTCCCTTATAATCTCATTAATTCATATCTTATGGCAACAAGCTTTCATGTCTCATATCATGCGTATTACTGTGACTCAGAATACCATAAAATATGAACTAGCGCTCATCCATCCCTTAACCCTATTTTTTATTTACGAATTCATAACTTTCACTTTTTATTAAAGAACCTGCTTCCATCACCTAATTATATTCAGGCCATGCTCTTGTCACCTAAATATATTCCACATTTTTACAAAAATATATCTAAGGCCTTCTCCCACCCCTTAGATATACCTCGACCCAAACACAAATCTAAAACACAACCGTATTTATGATGCATATGTAATACAACTCAAACATCATTTATCTCTGCAGAATAATAATAGATATAATAAAAATAATATTTCAAGTTTAATCACATGAATAATAATATTCACCAAACATTAAATAATATCCACGGAGCAACATCTATAATAATATTCACATGACATCAAATAGTATTTCATCAAATATCAAATAATATTCACCGAGCAAAATAACAATAATATTCATATTTATAGTACTATATATAAGCACCAAGATTAAAAATGACATAGCCTAATCATCGAAAAATTAGGAAACCCTTCCTCGTGTCCAGCTAGCTAAAATACCAATTTACCATTCAGAAGTTCCCATATTCATCGAATCTACTCTTTTGATCTAATTCCTGAAAAAATTTAAATCTAAATTATTATTTAGTAGTCTTCACCTGAGACTAGTAAACCTCAACCTTACGCATTTCAAAGATTCTGCGTGAAAATTATGAAAATGCCTTTGGGACCAACCCGGGGTCCAAAGCGGTCAAATCTCGTCCAAAACAATATAAAATTGTATCATACGCCTTGTCAACACCGAAACAAGGCCAACGACACCCGTTGTCCAAAAGTCACTATTTGGGTTTCATGGGCCCCAAATCAACCAACACTTCAAACAAAATATGCATCGACGCACAACCTCGAATTGACTCAAAACATATATCATCCGACTCGAATCGAG